TTGAACAGTAATAAAAAATCTCCCAACAAACAAACATCGAAGGCCAGATGGCTTCCCAGGGGAATCCTATGAGACATTTATTTTTTAAAAATATTTTTAAAGAATCTATTTATTTACTTGAGAGAGAGTGAGCAAGAGAGAGAAAGGATGACCGGGGTGGGCAGATGGAGAAGCACACTACCCTGCTGAGCAGGGAGCATGACATGGGCTCAATCCCAGATCCCTGAGATCATGACCTGAGCTGAAGGTGGACACTTAAACAACTGAGCCACCCAGGCACCCAGGCACCCTTCTACCAGCCATTTAAAGTAGAGTTAATACCTTTCCTTCTCAAATGGCTTCAAAAAACAGAAATGGAAGGAAAACTTCCAAACTCCTTCTATGAAGCCAGCATTATCTTGATCCCAAAACCAGGCAAAAACCCTTTTAAAAAGGAGAATTTCAGACCAATATCCCTGATAAACATTGATGCAAAAATTCTCAAGAAGATACTAGCAAATCAAACCCAACAGTACATTAAAATAATAATTCACCACAATCAAGACGGATTTATTCCTAGGCTGCAGGGGTGGTTCAATATCTGCAAATCAATCAACGTGATACACCACATTAATAAAAGAAAGGATAAAAATCATATGATCCTCTCAATACATCCAGAAAAAGCATTTGACAAAATATAGCATCCATTCTTGATCAAAATCCTCAATAAAGTAGGGATAGATGGAACATATCCCAACATCATAAGCACCTTATAGGAAAGACAGCCAATATCATCCTCAATGGTGAAAAACTGAAAGCTTTTCCTCTACAGTCGGGAACAAGACAGGGATGTCCACTCTCACAATTACAATTTAGTATATTACTGGAAGTCTTAACTTCAGCAATCAATTAATAAAAAGAGATAAAAGGCATCCAAATCAGCAAGGAAGAAGTCAAACTTTCACTATTTGCTGATGACATGATACTCTATGTAGAAAACCTGAAAGACTTCACCAAAAAAAAATTACTAGAGCTAACACATGAATTAAGCAAACTTGCAGGATATGAATTCAATGTATAGAATCTGTTTCATTTCTATACAACAATAATGAAGTAGTAGAAAAAGAAACCAGGGATTTGATCCAATTTACAATTGCACCAAAAACAATAAGATACCTAGAAATAAACCTAACAAAAGAGGTAAAAGATATGTACTCTGAAAACTATAGAACACTTATGAAAGCAATTGAAGAACACACAGAAAAATAGAAAAACACCCATGCTCATCAATTAGAAGAACATTGTTAAAATGTCTATACTACCTAAAGCAATCTACATATTTAATGCAACCCCTATCAAAATGCCAATAGCATTTTTCACAGAGCTAGAACACATCCTAAAATTTGTACAAAACCACAAAAGACCCCAAAGAGCCAAAGCAATCTTGAAAAAGAAAAGCAAATTTGAAGGCATCATGATTCCAAACTTCAAGCTATATTACAAAGCTATAGTCATCAAGACAGTATGGTACTGGCCCAAAAACAGACACATGGGTCAGTGGAACAGAACAGAGAACCCAGAAATGGACCCACAATTATATGATCAACTAATTTTCAACAAATCAGGAAAGAATATCCAATGGAAAAAGAGTCTCTTCAATAAATAAATGACGCTTATTGAAAACTGGACAGCAACATGCAGAAGAATGAAATTGGATCACTTTCTTATACCATACACAAAAATAAACCAAAAATGGATGCAAGACCTAAATGTGAGACAGTAAACCATCAAAATGCTAGAAGAGAATACAGGCAATAACCTCTTTGACCTCGATTGGAGCAACATCTTACTAGACACATTGCTTAGAGGCAAGGGAAACAAAAGCAAAAAATGAACTATTGGGACTTCGTCAAGTTAAAAAGCTTCTTCACAGTGAGGGAAACAATCACCATAACTAAAAGGCAGCCTACAGAATGGGAAAAGATATTTGCAAATGGCACATCTGTAAATGGGTTAGTATCCAAAATATATAAAAAACTTATTAAACTCAACTCCCAGAAAACAAATAATCCAGTTAAGAAATGGGCAGAAAACATGGATAGACATGTTTCCAAAAAAGACATACACATGCCTAATAGACACATGAAGAGATGCTAAATATCACTTATCATTAGGGAAGTACAAATCCAAACAATGATGAGATACCACCTCACACCTGTCAGAATGGCTAAAATCAATAACGCAAGAAACAACAGATGTTGGTGAGGATGTGCAGAAAGGGGAACCCTCTTACACTGTTGGTGGGAATCCAAACTGGTGCAGCCACTCTGGAAAACAGTATGGAGGTTCCTCAAAAAGTTACAAATAGATTTACCCTACAACCTAGAAATTATACTACTAGGTATTTACCCAAAGGATACAAGTACATATTTTAAGGGTATTTGCACCCTGATGTTTATAGCAGCATTACCAACAATAGCCAAATTATGGAAAGAGCTCAAGTATCCATCGACTGATGAATCGATAAAGAAGAAGTGTCATATATATACAAAGGATTACTATTCAGCCATTGAAAATAATAAACTCTTACCATTTGCAATGATGTGGATGGAGCTAGAGATACTCTGCTAAGAGAAGTCAGAAAAAGACAAATACCATATGATTTCACTAATATGTGAAATTTAGGAAACAAAGCAGATGAACACATGGTCAGGGAAAAGAAGCGAGAGGGAAGCAAACCATAAGAGTCTCTAAATAGTAGAGAAGAAACTGAAGTTTGATGGAGGGATGTGGGTGGGGGATGGGTTAAATGGGTGATGGGTATTAAGGAATGCACTTGTTATGATGAGCACTGGGAGTTATATGTAATTGATGAATCACTAAATTCTACTCCTGAAACCAATATTACACTATATTTTAACTAACTAGAATTTAAATAGAAATTTGGGAAAAATAATACAAAACTTCTGCAAAGCAAAGGAAGCCATCAACAAAAGAAAAAGGCAACCAACTGAATGGGAGAAAATATTTGTAAACCATAGATATGATAAGAGGTAAATATCCAAAATAAAGAAATTATACAATTCAATAGCAAAAAGCAAACAAACAATCCAATTAGAAAACAGGAGAGGATCTGAATAGATATTTTTCTAAGGAAGACATATAGATGAACAACAGGTATATGAAAAGGTATTCAATATCATTAATCATCAGGGAAATGCAACTCAAATCACAATGACATATTACCTCAAACTTGTCAAAATAGCTATTATCAAAAAGATAAGAAATAAATATTGAAGAGGATTTGAAGAAAAGGAAACTTTTATGCACTGTTGGTAGGAATGTAAATTGGTGCAGCCACTATGGAAAACAGTACAGTTTCCTTTAAAAATTACAAATAGAACTACTGTTTGATCTAGCAATTCCACTTCTGTGTATTTATGTGAAAAAAAATGAGAACACTGACTCAAAAAGATATAGGTACACCCATATTCAATACAGCATTATTTACAATAATCAAGATATGGAAACAAACTAAATGTGCACTGATGGATGAATGGATAAAGAAAACGTGCTAGATGTATATGCAATGGAATATTATTTTGCCCTAAAAATGAATGAAATCTTGCCATTTGCAACAACATGGATGGACTTTTTTTGTGTGTAAATTTATTTTTTATTGGTGTTCAATTTGCCAACATATAGAATAACACCCAGTGCTCATCCCGTCAGTGCCCACCTCAATGCCCGTCACCCAGTCACCCCCACCCCCCGCCCACCTCCCCTTCCACCACCCCTAGTTCGTTTCCCAGAGTTAGGAGTCTCTCATGTTCTGTCTCCCTTTCTGATATTTCCCACTCATTTTTTTCTCGTTTCTCCTTTATTCCCTTTCACTATTTTTTATATTCCCCAAATAAATGAGACCATATAATGTTTGTCCTTCTCCGATTGACTTATTTCACTCAGCATAATACCCTCCAGTTATGGATGGACCTTAAAGGCATTATGCTACATAAAATGAGTCAGACAGAGAATGAGCAATACTATATGATCTCATTTATATATGGAATCTTTGAAAAATGAGGTCATAGATACAGAGAAGGGGAAGATGGGTAAAATAGGTAAAGGAGGTCAAAAGATATAAACTTCCAATTCTAAAATAAATAAGTCATCAGGATATAATGAATAGCGTGGTGACTATATCTAATAATAGTGTTTTGCCTATTTGTAAGTTGCTAAGAGTGTAGACCTTAAAAATTCTTATCACAAGAAAAAATGTAATTATGTATGGTGACAGATATTAACTACACTTATTGTGGTGATCATTTTGCAATATATAAAAATATCAAACATTATGTTGTACACCTGCAACTAATTATATATCAATTTAAAAAACTCTGGTTGTCCTCTGGCTCTCTTGTAACTGCTCTTGCATAATGAAGCCAGGTTCATGTCCTCTAGAAACTGTGTAATTGTCTAGGAAGTGGTACTTAAAAATACCAGAAATTTGAGAAATATGACCACTTATGGGGAAGGCAACAGTATCTCAGCTGTGCCACTTCCCAATTTTTTGATCTTGAGCAAGACTCTTCACCTCTCTGATCTTTGGTATCTTCATTTTTAAAATGAACCTAATAATGTGTTCCCTACCATACAAAGTTGTAAGGGTTAAAGTGTAATAGCATATTATTCAGATTAGCACTCTTAAAATGCAAGTAAGCTCCCTATTCTGTAGGCCATTAAAATTGTACCCTACGACTAGTGTCTTCTTAATGTCTCTGATGTCTGAAAGCTACCTTTGAAAGAAACAGAGTTCAGAGGCCACCTTCAGGGATAGTGCAGACTGTAGGTGGAAAGAGTGTGCCCAAGTTGAGACAGGGGAATGTGTATGGCACCAAATCTTAGCAAGGGAGATTTTAACATTGGGGACTCAAATCTTGGAACTGGAACTCAAGACTAATCAATTGTATCCTTTTATCTCCCCCTTCCTTTTTTTCTCTGTTCTTCTCTTGTCGTTTCAGGTACATGATGATTGCCAGAGACGGTTTTCCAAGGAATGCTGGTTTGGGAGTCATCGAACATCAGTCATTCCTCCCACTGCCCTTAGCGACCCTAAAGGAGATGGTGAGTACCTAAACTTTAACCTCAGAATATATTTCATTGGGGAGGGAGGGAAGGTGCTAAGACTGGGGAAATTTTTAAATTAAATTATTATTCTCAACCAGTCAAACATTTTGGGGGAGTAGGAATGTGCATATATGTAGAGACATCTCATGTTTCTTTTGAGACCTTTGGGATAATGACTATTGATGTTCATGGTATATATGTATGTGGGCATGTTCTCTGTAGGCTCTGTCTCAATTGTTTTTGAATTTTCAGAATTGATTCCAACTTTTTCATGACTTTCAGATGTTAGATAATCCATAAAATAAGTTTGCTTGCATACAGGTGGGCAAGGATAAAGTATATAAAGGCCTAAGTTATGTTATTTTTAGAATAGAAACTAACACCAAAGTTGTCTCCAAATCTGAAACTAGCATGGTTATTACCCCAACCTGCCCTGATGAGGATAAGGGAAAATACGTAAAGGGCCTAAATATCAAGAAACATAGACCCGAAGAACAACCAAATTAAATCACTAGTCTTCTAGCCTAATGAAAGCTATAGACCCCTTCAGGGATATTTCACTCTTTAGCAATTGCTAACAATACCTTTTTGAGCATACCTCTACTTCCCCACTTTTCCTTTGCTCCTGAGAGACTCTTCTTTTTGCCACTGAACTGTTCATTTGCTTCTCCCATTACTCATTATTAAATAATGGAAGCTGTCAAGATCAAAATCACATATCACAGCTAAAAAGAGCTGACCTATTTTACCAACTAAAGTGGTATTTAGAAATCTAATATATTTACCAAGTGACACACTACTGTTTCACTAAGCCAGCAGAGAGATACACTGTCCATTAATTTCAGTTTGTGTATGGTTAGCTTCACTCTATATATGGTCAATTTCACTTACTGGAGGGGAAAGTTCAAGTCTTTCCCAGAATGTTTTCATTCATATTTCACTAATATGCTAATTTAGCCATTTCTGACATGTGTGATGTCCACTGGTCGGGAAGTGATTAGTGAACCAGCATTTCATTGACTTAAAAATTATCTCCATATTGATGCTTGCTGCCCACTTTGTTGCCAAGGAAGAACTAGCATTAGCTGACAGCAAAGAAAAGAAAGAAAAGTATATAGTTTCCTTAGAGAACAGAAAGAGGCAAGGATTCTGTAGTGATTACAACAGAGTTTTAGAACTAGACATAGCACCTGTGCACATGTGTGCACATACATATATATACACACACTCAGAGCCACTCTAGTCTCTTCCAGTTCATTTTCTAACCCTAATACAGATACATCCAGATAGACATTGGTACAGGGAATGAGCCATCCACACAGGCTTCTGCAGGCAAGCATACTCACATTTTCCCATAATGACCTCCATAGCACAACGCTAACTTCACTCAAGGATGCATGCATATATTATTCTCAGATCTACTCAAATGTTTACTCACATAAAGTCACCTACCAGATAGCAGGAGAGGTGATGAGGTAAATGGCTTGGTAAATAAGAGATGCTTGATTGGTTAGGAGAAGGAAGGGACTAGCAGGAAAATGGGATTGATAGAAGTGAAAGAGTGGCAAGCTAGTCAGCCAAGAAAACTCAGGCTGCTATGAAAGCCAATATAGTCTTGAATCTGACTTTGCTCACCCCAACAGGGAGATCTAGGGAAGATGTCTAAGCAGAATGAAGGAGGCCCACCTCAGCATTCTACCAATCACCCCAAATGGGTATTAAGGGGCTGTAACCTCTTCTTTGTAATTAGCCCAACAGGCTCTGTGCTTCCTATCCTTATGGAAGTTGAGCTTTTTAGTTTGTTTTTCTTATCCTATATCACTTCTTATTCTTGTTATAGATCATCAACTAATGGCATTGCTACTTTCTTTTGCTTTCCAACAATGACATAATGTTATTGCTTAGAAGCTACTGAGTTAAGCCATTCTTTTTGTATAATATCTCATTTAATGTCCCATTTAATGTATAGTTTTGAGCCTTTCCTTCTAGTCATCTGCAATCTTGATCCAATTGAATCTCACTCTTGAGAGACTTTCTTTCAATAACAGTTGTACTCAGGTGCATTATGAAGGTTAGATGAACTGACGTTTGTTAGAGATGGTTTTAAAATACAGGAAGGGGATCAGTAAGCCATCCTTACACGAATTTAACACCCTTTAGTGATATGAACTGAACAAATTTGAGAGACACTATAGGCTCCCTGTTTTGGGGCACTGTGGTTGTATTAATGCAGCTCAAAGAAGCATAAGCATGGGGTTTTTTTGTCTTTGTTTTTGTTTTTTGAAAGGCTCTTTCAGGATGTTGAGTCATCTGAAGTTTAAAGTCAACTAAATCCTCTAAGCCCTTTTCATACTTGATGCTGCCAGACGAAGTTCCTATTGTCCTATTCTGGTATGATTTATGTCCTTGAGCCTAAAATCCAAGCTTCACATTTATCCCCTTTTCATCTTGTTGACTTTGACCCATCTGACCCTTGAGGTTATTTTTCAGTCTTGATTCTGTCATCCAATGGTTCTCCCTCCAGTTTTGAGCTCTTCAAAGTTGAGAAGCCAGACTTCTATGTTTTCATTTGAATTGTTGATTAAAATTACTAAGTAGTACAGGGAACTCCCTTACAGTTAACATCAGCCTATTCAAAAGCAACTTTGTGGGCACACTTACCTGGTTATGAATCTGCCTAACATTGCTACATTCCAGCCCATGATGCCACACAATTTTGTCACCTTGGTCACAAGATACTCTTGGCAAATTTGGCTTTGCTCAAATTCAGATGTTCTCTAACTGTGGAGGAAAATGTTAGACAGGGCTGCTCTTGTCTTCTCCTAGGAATAGCTTTCTACCAGCACTGCTTCCCTTTGTCTTCCCATCTGTGACCAAATTAGGTTTGACACTGAAGTTTGAGTTTGAGTGAATTATAGCATTTTCTCTTTATCTCAGTTTTCCACCCCCATCCTGGATTATTTTATTCATCATTGCAACATGATGCTGTTGCACATAGGGAGAAATGAACACCCAGAAAAGTTACTACACTTGATCTTAGCCAAAAGGCTGAGAAGCGATACACCCAGAGAGGTTAAGATGTCTGCTATAGGTTAGTGAATAAATCTGGAGGGCAACCAGCTGTGGTACACAGCTGCATTCTGTTGTAGAAGTATACTGCAGAAGGCAGCCCACACTCCAAGCTGCCAAATGATTTCAGTTACAACCTCATGGCTATTTAATCTATAGATAACAATAGCATAATTATTTTTCCTATTTCTTAATTTAATTCTTGACTAGTTAATATATTCACATAGCTCAAATTTTTTTAAAAATAGAAATATATAAGCACATAATATTTAATTAAAAAACTTACTATCTTTACTCTCAATCTTCTCAATCTCCAATAGCCCCACCCCATCCTCACTCACAGTAAGTTGACTACTGCCATTAGTTTATTGAATAGTTTCCAGTATTTCTTCCTGTATATACTAGTGAATATAAACATATATTCTTATCCCTCCCCTTTTTAATACTATACACATTCCTCTGGATGTTGCTTTTTTTCTCCTTCATAGTATATTTTGAAGATCTTTTTGCATCAACAAAAGGTTGCTCCTCATTCCTTTTTACAGCTACAAGATATCCCATTATATGGATACATACCATAATTTATTTGACAAGTCCTTTATTGGTGGATAATTTGGTAGTTTTCAGTCTTCTGTTATAACAACACTCAATGAACAATCTAATACAGGTCATTTTACATATACATCTATAGGAAAAATTCCCAGAGGTGTAACTACTGGGTCATAATACATAGACATTTGTAATTTTCATAGATGCTGTCAAATTGCTGCCCATAGGGCTTGTGTCACTGACTGAGAGTTCATATTTTCCATGTCTTCCTCAATCAAGTGTATCATCTATTTTTTTAATTTTTGCCAATCTTCTGAATTAAAAAAATGGTACAATCGCCTAGTTTTAATTAGTATCTTTCTTATTTATGGGTGAGTTTGGTCATCTTTTCACTTTTAAGAAGAAATTTATATTTCCTTTTCTCATCATTGTAACACATAGCCCATTTTCATCTCAACACTAGGAAACAAGTTAGTTTTCTGAAGGCTCACTTTGCAGATAAGGAAATGGAGGCCCAAACAGCTCATGGTAGTTAGTCTCATTGCCACTGTTGCCTCACCTTTAGAGACTGACTAACCCATCGTGTTAAAAATCATTGGGCATAAACAGGTCTATTCTAGGACCCCTGAAAGGAGAGTCCTTACTTTTAAGCACAGCTCACACTTACACTAGATGTTAGCATGAACCTGTTTCCATAAATCTTTTCATTGGAGTACATACCCAAAGTCACATGATCACCTACAGAGTATAAGCAGGAGATTGCTGAATAAAGAAAAGAAGCACTGAGCAGAATCAGGTTATCAAATAAAGGGGAGGTAAACCTGAGGCCAGGTCATGAGCTGGGGCTGGCATTGTTGGTTGGTAGGGGAGCAAGCACATAAAAAGATACTACATTTTTTTAGAGGTGCCTAGGTGGCTCAATCGCTAAGTGTCTGAATCTTGATTTTGGCTTAGGTCATCACCTCTGGGTCATGAGATGGGGCTCCTTGCTGAGTGTGGAGACTACTTAAGATTCTCACCCTCTCCCTTTGCCCCTCCCCCACAGCCGTACCCCTTCCACCTGTGTGTGTGCACATGTACTCTCTCTCTAAAAAAATTAAATTAACATTAAAAGATACTACCTTTATTGACGATTTTCATCAAATATTTTGTGACCTGACCCCTAATGTATTGTACCATATTAAAACAGTCTCACCCTTATTTTTTAACTGCTTTATCTAACATCTTGTAATTTTATATGGTTCCTGTCATCTCTCTGACCTCATTTCTGCTACTTAACCCCTCACTCACTCCACAACAGTCATGCCATTCTATTCAGTGGGCCTCAGACATCTCAGTCTCCCTTCTCTGGGTCCTAGCCTTATTCTTTCTTCTGCCCCAAAAATTCTTTTCCCCTATATCTGTATTGCTCACTTTTTCACTTTGTTCAAGTCTCAAATATCACCTCCCCAGAGAAGCTATCCCTGACTACTCTGTCTAAAATAACAACCCCTGTAGTCTCCATCCCATTTCCCTGACTTCTTTTTCTTCATATCATATTATTTTCTATATTTCTTCATTATGTTGTGCCTCCCACCATTAGAATATAAGTTCCATAGGAGCAGAAACTATTTCTATCTTGCCCACCACTGTTTTCTCAGAACATAAGAAGGACAAGCACAGAGAATGCCCTCAATACATATTTGTTGAATGAATGAATGAATGAATGTCTTAACTACCATTGCATCAACATATTACCTTTTGTAAAACAACTGTTTTTTATTTTTTTGTATATTTTTTATTGGAGTTCAATTTGCCAACATATAGTATAACAGGGTACTTCCTTTGGATGTGTTCAGGAAGGGTAACTATTTCCAAGCTATGCTACTGAAGGGAATAACAGACTCCCCTTATAGCTGTGAGTCCTAGCGAGCCCTGAAAGTTTGGTGCCTGGCTGGCTGACCAGCTTAGGATGCCTTCAAGTTCTCCTGGCCAGGGGTCCCTGGGTGGCTCAGCAGTTTGGCGCCTGCCTTCGGCCCAGTGCGTGATCCTGGAGCCCTGGGATCGAGTCCCACATCAGGTTCCCTGCATGGAGCCTGCTTCTTCCTCTGCTTGTGTCTCTGCCTCTGTGTGTGTGTGTGTGTGTGTGTGTGTCTCATGAATAAATAAATAAAATATTTTTTTAAAAAAAGTTCTCCTGGCCAGTGAGTAGGTATTGGTCCATAGAGGAAGCCTGCTTTAGGTTTTCCAGGCAAAACAGCCATGAAATCTGCTCATGTTAACAGTATCCCTCCAGGCTTCCTTTCACCCATGTTACAACAAATGGGAAATCTCAACCCACCTCCCTCCCTGTGCCCTGCCACCATTCAGGAGTGGGCCACATGCCTTTTGCCTTTTGCATTTATTTTTGCTGGGGTATACCTGGAAGTCACAAGCTCAGAGTTTAGGGGCTCATGATTTGTCTACCATCTCATAGGGAGCCATTGCTCACTGCCTGTCTCCCTGTCAACAGGCTCTAAGACTTAGCATAAGCTGGCAGGTATTGGCAATTTAGACTGCTATAACTCCACTTTCCTATAGGGAACTTCAGAGTTAGGGATTATTAAAAGCCTCTCTCTTGTTCAGACAATTTCCCTATAGTATTATTTCCCCTGAAAGTTGGTGTGATAACTGGGATTGCTCTGCCAGAGCCTTAGAGGAGTGATTAAACCTCCCTCCTTGGGATCCCTGGGTGGCGCGGCGGTTTGGCGCCTGCCTTTGGCCCAGGGCGCGATCCTGGAGACCCGGGATCGAATCCCACGTCAGGCTCCCGGTGCATGGAGCCTGCTTCTCCCTCTGCCTATGTCTCTGCCTCTCTCTCTCTCTCTGTGTGACTATCATAAATAAATAAATTTTTAAAAAAAATAAACCTCCCTCCTTCCTCCAACATTGATATGTTCTGTCATTAGCTCCTGGCTAAAAGACATCCCCCCCCCCAACTCCTTACCTGGTATCTTCTCACTATGGGAACTGAGCTATCCCAGGCAAAGAGAGGATTAATTGGTACTCTGATCCTCCTCTTGGGCTCTCAACCCTCTCCTTCTTCAGTTTCCCCACAGTGTTTTATTAATCCTTTGTTGTAGCACTAATTTCCTTAATTTTTGTGTTCTAACATACTATTATATATGAGTCTATTCCCCCAGCTTGAGGGCAGAAGCTATATCCCTACAGTTTCTAGCATGATGACTGGCATGTAGTAATTGCTCAACAAATGTTGTTTGCCTGGCAACAGCTGGGCAGACATTAAATGAAAGCACCCTTTGGTTTGTGTTCTGAATTTCCCTCTGCTTCTCAGTCTCAGGAGACTGGAGCATAAGGAAACTCTGAGAGCTGTTGGATATATCTTTTGCCTTGTTTGTGGTGATTATATCACATATATCTAAACTCATTAAATTGTATACATTAAATATGTGCAGTTCTTTGTATATCAATTATACCTCAATAAAGCTGTTTTTAAAAAGTCTTTGCAAAATGTGATATCAAGTCATGTCTTGTTTCCATCTCAACGGCCCCTTTCTTTTTTCTCCTTTCCTTTTTGTTGTGTGCATATATCAGGCCAATTAGTAGTATCTTCAGACTTCTGGAACCTTGATTGGTCATCAGCCTGTTCATGTCCCCTTCTCATCTTCATCAACTCCAAAAGTGGCGATCACCAAGGGATCGTCTTCCTCCGAAAATTCAAACAATACCTTAACCCATCTCAAGTTTTTGACCTGTCAAAGGGTGGACCTGAAGCCGGGTAAGCATGGGCTAAGGGATATAGTTGGGTATATAGAAGAGACTCTTCGCTCTATACATTCTAGACTAAGATAGGTTTCCTGGAATCCATTCTAGTACCTGGGAAGGAAAGATATATTTTTTCAAGTCAGGACATGGGCACATAACTTTAGAGCATTTGGGGTTGTCTAGTTGGAGGACTTTTAGCCCTATCCCAGAAGTCCCTTCAAGCCCATGTCCTGCTCTCAGATTTGTTCCACCTTTCCTGGTTGGAAGAAGTCTAACTTTGTCTCTTGACCTCAGAGGAAGAGGCAAATGGATGTTGCTGTTTACCTTTCCTGTCCCTCATTCTTTACTGGAGCCAAATAAACATATCTCCACTCTAGGCCTGTTTTACTTAGGGAGCATCTGGCTGTTCAGCTCGGGTTTCTGTGAAGCCACTGGCCACTGTGCAAGGCATTCTTCTTGGGGCTTATCAGGTGGGTATAGCTAGGTTACTAGTAGCTTCCAGAGCAAGGTTAAGCATACAAGAGGGTGGAATGAAGCAAGGCCTCATCTCCAGGATTGCCTGTGATGATGGGTACAGAGAGACAGGAGCTAAGTGAAAGAAGGCAGTTAGCCTGTTAGCAGGATGCAGAAGCAGTAGTCCTTAGCTCCTGATACAGTATAGCAGAGTTGTAAAACTTAGCAGTTCACAAAATGACTCCTTTTCCCCTCTTTCTTTCAGCCTATGCATGTTCAAGAATTTTGCTCGTTTTCGCATTGTAGTTTGTGGTGGAGATGGCAGTGTGAGCTGGGTCTTATCTCTGATCGATGCTTTTGGATTACATGAAAGGGTAAGTTCCTAGCTGACTCAGTTTAGCCATTGCTAGAGAGACTGGGGGTATGGAACTGCTCATCCCCAAAAGTCCCTGGTCTTCATTCTCCTTATCTATATCACACATGTTTTCTAGTGGTTTCATAGTCAATCTGACAAACAGATTCTCAATCTAAGCTTTCTCACCTAAACCATTTTCTGTGGGAAGGAGAAATGAGGTAGTTAGCAGAAGGGATAAGCAGTGCTTTACTCCTCAGGCCCCAGAGTAAAGATTTGAAGGGGAGGAGAGCAGCCAAAAAAGAAGTGGCTTCGGGCCACATTCAAGCCCCAATTTCCTTCTCCTCCTGAGGCCATTGAATATCTTCTCTGAGTCCCAAGAGTAGCAAAAACTTACCTCTCCCTTTCCTCTCCCTAGACAGCTCCGTACTCTTCTGACTCTAGTAGCTTTGTCTCCCAAGGCACCTTTTCTCCTTGGCCAAGCCTTGTTAGAAATTTGTGGCTATACTTCTCTATCATAAGCATGGCTATAAATTATTGGCATATTCCAACTTTCCCCTTTACTGAGTAGGTTCTATATTGCCAAGAGTGATGTCAAACTTCTTAAGAAAAAGTTCACTCAGCATCAGATACCTTCCTATTACACTTCCTAAAATCAAAAGTCTCTTATTACCACTTGCTTTGAGACAATCTTTCCCAAGGTTCTTTTATGGGTGGATCTTGGTAGGATTCTCTGAAAAAGGTGCCTGGTTTTGTTTTTGTAGTGTCAGTTGGCAGTCATCCCACTTGGAACCGGCAATGATCTGGCCCGCGTCCTAGGCTGGGGTGCATTCTGGAACAAAAACAAGTCACCTGTGACCATCCTCAACAAAGTGGAGCAGGCTAGTGTGAGGATTCTAGACCGGTGAGTGGCTGAAAGATCAGGTCATTGTACCTATTCTAGTCCCATATCAGTTACTCTCAGTTACATAATCTCGACCATGAATGTTCTAATCTCCCGCACAGAGCCTCATTTCCTCTCTGGCTTCAGTGCAGGGCAGCTTGGGAAGGCCTTGTCTATGAAGAAGTCCGGGTCTACCGTGTATCCTTTGGACATCACTAAAGCCCCTCTTCAAACTTAAAAGATCCTAAACCAGGGACTCCTGGGTGGTGCAGCAGTTTGGCACCTGCCTTTGGCTCAGGGCTGATCCTGGAGACCCGGGATCGAATCCCACGTCGGGCTCCCGGTGCATGGAGCCTGCTTCTCCCTCTGCCTCTCTCTCTCTCTGTGTGTGACGATCATGAATAAATTTTTAAAAAAATCAACTTAAAAAAAAGATCCTAAACCAGGAGCCCCACAAGTAAATTTTAAAGTTTCTGTGAACCTCCTTCAAATTGCAGTTAATTATCTATGTAAGCGTATTTTTTTCTTGGGAGTGTTTCTATATTTCTATTCTATTCTAGAATAGTATAGAAACTATTCTGTAGCTTCATCAGTTTTTCAAAGAAATTTTTAAAAATAGGGTTCAAAAACACTTGGCATAGATTGTCTCTGCTCTAGAGAAGAATGAGTATTACCATCATATCTCCTGAGAAGAAAGACTTTCAATGCTGGGTCATAGTATTTGATTTATGGCTGCCCATAAGGATATTCTGGGAAGCTTTTTCAAGGTACCAAGCTGATCCCACCACAAAGACTCATATTCAGGTCTTGAGTAGGACCCTGGTATATGTATTTTACAAAATCATCTGAGGTGATCTTGATATAGTTACCTCTCTGGTTTAGAAGCACTGCCCTCTGACCCTATGATGGAATTCTTTCCATCATACTGACCTTGAGAAGTCATGAGGCAGAGGCTCCCACTTATAGTACATCTTGAGATCAGGTGACCTGAGAGTGTGGGTATCTCTACAACTCATCTTCCCTCACCATATAAACATTTTGACTTTTTTCTTGACACATGAAGCTTTGATGACAGCCTGTGATGAAACAGAGCCCTAAATATCTGTCTTTGACCTTCATTTCAGATGGAGTGTGATGATCCGTGAGACTCCCAGACAAACCCCATTGCTAAGAGGACAGGTTGAAATGGATGTACCCCGATTTGAGGTAACTACTGCCCAGCTATAATTCAGGCCTTTGTGGCCTTTATGGCATAGTGAAATAACAAGTAAAAACTAGAGAAGCTTTCATATTGCCCATGGCCTCAATGAGGATGAGATCATGGTGGGTTTTAGACTTGTCAATCAGCAGCTTTTACTAAGAACTGTGTTAGGCATTGGAGATATAATTCATTCAGCCATTTACTTCATTCATTCAAAATATGTATGGAAATATTTATTGATTACCTACTATGTGTTCTAGGAACTGCTCTTATGTACTAGTGGTAAAAAAGAATGACATAGTTCACACTGTCATGGAGTTCATAGTTTAGTGATAGAAATAATAATTTTAATAAAGTAGTATGAGTGTTAGTATATAAGGAAGTAGACAGGGGTGGAAACACCCAGCAGGTGTACCAAACCAAGTCTGGGGAAGATCAAGGAAAACTTCTCGGAAGCACCATTTCAGAAGAGGTTGAAGGACTAGAGGGAGTTAACCAGGATACTAAGAAAGAGGAGGCCTGTTCCAAACAGATGGAATAGTATGTGTTGTTCCAAAAGCAGGACAGAGCATAAAATATTCACAGAATGGAATGGAATATTCACATACATTTATTAATGGCTAAAGCATAAGGGTCAGGGAGGAGATATGCAGGGAGAATTACTAAAGATGAGGCCGGAAAAGCAATCAGGGGCCAGGCCAGGAAGAACCCAGTAATCCATGGTAGGAAATTTGAGCTATAAATTTATCCTAATGAGAATTATAGGATTTTTTTCTTACATTATTTTGAGAATTTTCAAACATACTAGCTTCTTGAACTCTATAGTAGAATTAGTTAGGACTCTAGCCTGCAGGATATAACTCTCAAAGACATAAAAAAGCTTATTTCAATATAAATGACATTTAAATGGCTATCTACTATATGTATATCACAGTACACATTATTAGGCATTCTATTAAAATTTGAGATATATAATGCCAATAAGTATACAAACATATATATTTAAATTAAAAATAAAAATAAAATAAAATGGTAGAGTCTGCCATTCACATTTCACTATATTTGCCTTATATATTTGTCCATTTATCCATTCTGCTATCTAATGGAAGGGTTTTTAGCAGAAGAGTTCCATAGTACATGGGAAAACAGTTGTAGAAATAAAGACTAGAGACAAGGAGAAAAGAGAGGAGATGCTGCAATTGTCTAGGCAAAAGATGATGGTGATTAGGACTGGTGAAGTGGTAACAGGGATAAGAAGTGGACATATTTAAGACATATGGGAGGGATAGAATCACCAGAACTTGGTAGATGTTTGAATATAGAGAGGTGATGGAAAAGGGCGGAGTAGAAGCTGTAATTAAGAATACAGAGTCAGAGCACCTGACTGGCTCCATTGGTAGAGCATGCAACTCTCAGTCTCAGGATCATGAGTTCAAGCCCCACATTGGGCGAGAAGCCCAGAAAAAAAAAAAAAAGAACACAGACTCAAGAACCAGACTACCTAGAATCAAATCCCGGCGCTGCCATTTATTAGCTACCTCTTTCCTGTCCCTCAGTTTGCTATTCTGTGTAATGGGGTTGTTATAAGGATTACATGAGAAAATATTTATATCTAGCTTAGAACAGAGCCTGGTAAGTACTTACATAGTAAGTACTATATAAGTGAATGCTATTATTATTACTAATATTATTATAATAAGAGGTAACACTCTGGCATTGGAAAGATGTGGGTTCAGATTCCAGATCTATTATTTACTAGCTATGCAATATGAGATTATATTTTCATTTAAAACATGGAACAAAAAGTTACCTCCATGAGTTTTTGAGAATTATTTAAATGAGAGTAAATAATATACATCTCTTATTTTCAGAATGACCATAGATCTAAGATTATCTATGGGCCTCATCAACAAGAATTTTTGATTATGATTATTTTCAGAGAGGCAGTTGAGTTGTTGTTAAAGAGTCAGTAGGAAATAATGAGGGGATAAGAATGAGCAGCAGACTATGTCCCAGTGCAAAGATTCCAGAGTTGAACACACTTTTTCCTAGGCTGCTGCCATCCAATATCTAGAATCTGCAACCACTGAGCTGAACAAAATCCTGAAGGCCAAGTACCCTACAGAGATGATCATCGCAACCAGGTCAGTATTCCTTTGGCTTTCAAATTGAGGTATCTTTTTCCCCTTTGTGAGCTATTCTTCAGTCCAAAAAGGAGCTCATTTTTATAGTTTGGGGTATTGAGGCCAAGGAAAATATCAGATTTCTCCCAACTCAAACCTCCTAAATGGAAAGTTTAAGAAAAAATAGATGAGATTGAGGTGAGGGCCACTGCTATTCCAAAAAGACAAAATTACAAGCCAGAGATTTGAGAGAAGGATTACAGAAGGGAAAGAGCATTCCACAGTATTCAAGAGCATAACATTACTCCCTACATTAGGGACACCTTGCTTTCCATCAGACACTAGGAAAGGTCTCAACAGAAATGATGGCAGCTACTTTCTCATAGCCTAAACAACACATTCTGCCTTTCCAAAGATGTGAGTCATTCATTCTTCCTGGGACTCTTTGGATGGTTCCTCACCAGTCTGTCATATCTGCCTTTGATAAACACTCACCCTGGGACAGTCTTCCCAAAGTCATTATGTTTGTACTAAATTATATGGGCTCTTGAACCATAACTGATTTGACCCAGGGTCAAAACTTGACCCAGGTTGTATCAACTGAATTTTCATTTCTGGAAATTCTGAATTTAGGACTAAGAAATTCTAGTTAAACTCGTTTAAGTACTCATGTATTTGATCATATGTACATGAAGAAATGGAAAAGAAAGGGGGAGAGGAAAGAGAGAGAGAGAAGATAGACCGGAAAAGAGAAAGAGAAGGTGGGAGATGGACTTCATAAGAGAGAAGGGCTCTGTATCTAATTGTCCATGTCATATTGTGCCATATATCTTATCTTTGCAGATTCCTCTGCTCAGCAGTGGAAGATTTTGTGGTAGATATTGTAAAGGCCTGGAGTCGGATAAAACAGAACAATACAGCTATAGAATCTGTAATTTTGAAAGTAAGTTTCCATTCCTTTTATCTTGCATTCTTTGTGGAGCCAGGGCCCCCTTTTTATTTTTTATTATTTTAATTCCAGTATAATTAATATACACTATCATATTAGTTTCAGGTATACAATATAGTGATTCAACTATTATATTCATTACTCAGTGCTCATCATGATAAGTGTACTCTTAATCTCCTTCACCTATTTCACCGATCCCCCAACCATCTCCCTCTGGTGACCACTAGTTTGTTCTCTATACTTTTTGGGTTGTCTATTTTTTATTTGTTCATTTGTTTTGTTTCTTAAATTCTACACAAGAGTGAAACCACATGGTATTTTCTTTTTCTAACTGATTTATTTCACTTAGTATCTTACCCTCTAGATCCATCCATGTTGTTGTAAATGGTAAGATTTCATTGTTTTTTATGGTTGAATAATATTCCATTGTGTGTATATACCACATCTTCTTTATTCATTTATCTATGGATGGATAGTTGGCTATTGTAAATAATGCTACAATAAACATAGAGGTGCATGTATCTTTTCAAAATAGTATTTTCATTTTCTTTGGGTAAATAGCCAGTAGTGGAATTACTAGTTCTATTTTTAATTTTTTGAGGAACCTCCATACTGTTTTCTAGAGTGGCTGCACCAGTTTGGATTCCCACCAACAGTGTAAGAGGGTTCCCCTTTCTGCACATCCTCGCCAACACCTGTTGTTTCTTGTGTTGTTGATTTTAGCCATTCTGACAGGTGTGAGGTAATATCTCATTGATGTTTTGATTTGCATTTTCCTGATGATGAATGATGTTGAGCATCTTTTCATGTATCCGTTGGCCATCTGGATGTCTTCTTTGGAGAAATGTCTTTCATGTTTTCTGCCCATTTTTTAATTGGGTTATTGGTTTTTTAGGTGTTGAGTTGTGTCAGTTCTTTATATATTTTAGATACTAACCCTTTATCAGATGTGTCATTTGCAAATATCTTCTCCCATTCCATAGGTAGCCTTTTATTTTTGTTTATTATTTCCTTCACTTTGCAGAGCTTTTTATTTGATGTGGTCCCAACATTTAATTTCACTTTTGTTTCCCTTGTCTAAGGGGACTTAGCTAGAAAAATAGTTGCTACAGCTGATGTCGGAGAAGTTATTGCCTGTGCTTTCTTCTAGGATTTTTATGGTTCCATGTCTCACATTTAGGTTTTTCATCCACTTCAAATTTGTTTTTGTGTATGGCATAAGAAAGTGGTCCAGTTTCTTTCTTCTGCATGTTACTGTCCAGTTTTCCCAACACACTTTGTTGAAGAGATAGTCTTTTTCTCATTGGATATTCTTTCCTGCTTTATCAAAGATTAACTGACAGTAATTATGGGGTGGTTTTTTTTATAGGTTTTCTATTCTGTTCCACTGATATATGTGTCTATTTTTGTGCCAGTATCATACTGTTTTGACTACTACAAACATGGTATGGTGCCTCCAGCTTTGCTTTTCTTTCTCATGATTGCTTTGGCTATTCAGGGTCTTTTGTGATTACATACAAATTTTAGGATTGTTTGTTCTAGTTCTGTGAAAAATGCTGTTGGTAATTTGATAGAAACTACACTAAATATGTAGATTACTTTGGGTAGTATAGACATTTTAACAATATTTTTTCTTCCAATCCATGAGCATGTAATGTCTTTCCATTTTTGTGTCATCTTCAATTTCTTTCATCAATGTTTTTTTTAAATATTTTTTTAATTTTTATTTATTTATGATAGGCACACAGTGAGAGAGAGAGAGGCAGAGACACAGGCAGAGGGAGAAGCAGGCTCCATGCACCGGGAGCCCGACGTGGTATTCGATCCCGGGTCTCCAGGATCGCGCCCTGGGCCAAAGGCAGGCGCCAAACCACTGCGCCACCCAGGGATCCCTTCTTTCATCAATGTTTTACAGTTTTCACAGTAGAGGTCTTTTACTTTTTGGTTAGGTTTATTCCTAAGTATCTTATTATTTGGGGGTGTAATTGTAAATGGTATGGATTCCTTAATTTTTCTTTCTGTCATTCCATTATTAGTATATAGAAATGTAATAGAGGAATGCCAGGGTGGCTCAGTCATTTAAGGGTCTATTTTCAGCTCAGGTCATGATCCTGGGGTCCTGGGATCGAGCCCCAAGTCAGGCTCCTTGCTCAGCAGGAAGCCTGCTTCTCTCCCTCTGCCTGCCACTCCCCCTCCTTGTGCTCTCTGTCAAATAAATAAATAAAATATTTTTAAAAAGAAATGCAACAGACTTCTGTAAACTGACTTTGTATTCTGCGACTTTACTGGATTGGTTTACCAGTTTTAGCTGTTTTGGGTGGAGTCTTTCTGGTTGTCTATATATCTATAGTGTCATATAAACTGCAAATAGTGAATGCTTGACTTCTTCCTTGCCCATTTGGATGCCTTTTATTTCTTTGTGTTGTCTGATTTCTGTAGCTAGGACTTCCAGTACTATGTTGAATAAAAGTGGTAAGATAAGATATCCTTGTCTTATTCCTGACCATAGAGGAGAAGCTCTCAGTTTTAACTCCTAAGAATGATGTTAGCTGTGAGTTTTTGATAAATGATCTTCACTATGTTGCAGTATGTTTGTGGGTTTATTTCTGGACTCTCTATTCTGTTCTATTGTTCTGCATGTCAGTTTTTGTTCTGGTTCCATACTGTTTTGATTACTACAGTTTTGTAATACATCTTAAAATCTGAGATTGTAATTCCTCCAGTTTTGGTCTTATTTCTCAAGATTGCTTTGGCTATTCAGGGTCTTTTGTCATTCCATACAAATTTTAAGATTATTTTTTCTACTTCTGTGAAAAATACTGTTGATAATTTGATAGGTATTGCATTAAATCTGTATATTGCTTTGGGTAGTATGGACATTTTCACAATATTTGTTTTCCCAATCCATGAACATGGAATGTCTTTCCATTTGTGTCATCTTTAATTTCCTTCATCAGTGATTTATACTATTCAGAGTACAGATCTTTCACTGTCTCAGGTTTTTTTTTAAGATTTTATTTATATATTCATATAAGACACACAGAGAGAGAGGCAGAAACAGAAACAGGCTCCATGCAAAGAGCCTGATGTGGGACTCAATCCTGGTACTCCAGGATCACACCATGGGCCAAAGGCAGGAGCTAAACTGCTGAGCCACCCAGGCGTCCCCAAAGCCTCAGTGAACTTTATTCCTAGGTTTTTATTATTTTTGGTGCAATAGTAAATGGATTTTCTTTATTTCTCTTTCTGCTATTTCCTTATTAGTGTATAGATTTCTGTATATAGATTTTGTATCCTCTGACTTTACTGAATTCATTTATCAGCCCTAGTAGTTTTTTTGGTAGAGTCTTTAGAGTTTTCTATATATAGTAGGATGTCATCTGCAGATAGTGAAAGTTTTACTTCTTCCTTAGCGATTTGGATTCTTTTTAATTCTTTTTGTTGTCCTAGTGCTGTGGCTAGGACTTTTAGTACTATACTAAATAGAACTGGTGAGAGTGGGCATCCTTGTCTTGTTCCTGATCTTGGAGGAAAAGCTCTGTTTTTCACCATTTACATGTTGACAGTGGCCTTTTCATATATGGCCTTTATTATGTTGAGTAATATTCCTTCTAAAACTACTTTGTTGAGGGTTTTATCATAAGTGGATGTGTACTTTGATGATTTTTCTACATCTGTTGAAATGATCACGTGGTTTTTATCCTTTCTCTTGTTGATGTGATATATCATGTTGATTAATTTGCAAATATTGAATCACCCTTGCATCCCAGAAATAAATCCTACTTGATCGTGGTGAATGATTTTTTTAACGTATTGTTAGATTCAGTTTGCTATATTTTGTTGAGGATTTTTGCATCTATGTGAATAAGAGATATGGACCTGTAGTTCTCATTTTTGGTATTTGTTTTATCTGGTTTTCTTATCAGGTTAATGCTGGCCTCATAAAATGAATTTGGGAGGTTTCCTTCCTCTTATTTTTTTTTTTTTGAATAGCTGAGAAGAATGGGCTTTAACTCTTCTATAAATGTTTGGTCGAATTTACCTATGAGGCCAGCTGGTCCTGGACTTTTGTTTGTTGGGAATTTTTTTATTGCTGATTCGATTTCATTGCTGGTAAACAATCTGTTCAAATTTTCTATTTCTTCCTAGTTTAGTTAAGGAAGGTGATTTGTTTCTAGGAATTTATCCATTTCTTCTAGGTTGTCCAATTTGTTGGCATAGAATTTTTCATAAAATTTCTCATAATCCTTTGTATTTCTTTGTTATCAGTTGTTATTTCTCCTTTTGTTTATTTGAGTCCTCTCCCTCTTTTTTTAAATTAATCTGGCTAAAAGTTTTTCAATTTTGTTTATCTTTTCAAAGAACCAGCTCCTGGTTTCACTGACCTGTTCTTTTGGTTCTTTAGTCTTTATTTCATTTATTCTTCTACTGTTTTTTTGGGGGGGGTTTGTTCTTTTCTTTTTCTATTTCCTTTAAATATTAGGTTAGGTTTTTGAGATTTTTGAGATTTGAGATTTTTCTTGCTTCTTGAGGTAGGCCTGTATTGCTGTAAGCTTCCCTCTTAGAACAGCTTTTGCTGCATCCCAAAGATTTGAGATTTTGTGTGTTCATTTTCATTTGTCTCCATGTATTTTTTTATTTCCTCTGACCTATTCATTGTTTAGTAGCATGCTATTGAACCTCTTTGTATTTTTTTTTCTTTCCTGATTTTGTCTGGTGGTTGATTTCTAGTTTCATAGCATGGTGTCAGAAAAGATGCATGATATGACTTCAGTCTTTTTAATTTGTTGAGACTTGTTTCATGGCCTAACATCTATCTGGATCTATCTGGAGAATATTCCATATGCACTTGAAAAGATGTATTTCATATGTATTCCACTGTTCTAGGATAGAATATTCTCAACATGTCTGTTAGATACATCTGGCCCTAAATGTCATTCAAGCCATAGTTTCCTTGTTGATCTTCTCTTGGATGATTTATCCAATGATGTGACATGTTAAAATACCTATTATTGTATCACTATCAATTACTTCCTTTAATTTTTAATAGTTGCTTTTTGTATTTGGATGCCCCAATGTTGGGTGCATAAATATTTACAATTGTTATTTCTTTCTGTTGGATTGTTCCTTTATGATTATATTGTGTCTTTCTTTGGCTCTTGTTAGAATATTTGTTTTAAAGTCTATTTTGTCCAATATAAGAATTGCTACCCTGACTTTCTTTTCACTTCTATTGGCATGATAAGTGGTTTTTCATCGCTTAACTTTCAATATGCATGTGTCTATAGGTCTGAAATGAGTCTCTTGTATGCAGCATATAGATGAGTTTTGCTTTTTTATCCACTCTGTTGCCCTATATCCCTTCAGTCCATTTATATTCAAGGTACTTATTGAAAGGTATGCATTTATTACCATTTTGTTATTCATTTTATGTTTTTTTTGCAATTCTTCTCTGTTCCTTTCTTCTCCTGCTTTTTCTCTCATGGGTTTCTGGCTTTCTTTAATGATATACTTGGATCCGTTCTTTATTTTTTGCATATACCCTATCAGTTTCTGATTTATGATTACCATTAGGTTTGTATATAACATCTTCAGCACATAGCAGTCTATTTTAAGTTGATTATCATTTAAGTTTGAATCCATTCTGAAAGCACTAAATTTTTACTTCTCTCCCACTCCACATTTTAGATATATGGTGTCATACTTGACATCATTTCATTTTGTGAATCCTTTAACTGATTTTTATAGATATACTTAATTTTACTGCTTTTGTGCTTCCTACTTTTCTTGCTCCTGCTTATGATTTTTTTCTTTCCACGCAAAGAGTCTTCTTTAACATTTCTTGTAAGGCTGGTTTAGTGGTGATGAATTCTTTCAATTTTTCTTTTTCTGGGAAGCTACCTTTCCTTCTATTCTGAACAATAACTTGCTAGGTAGAGTATTCTTGGCTGCAGGGTTTTTTTCTTTCACCACTTTGAACATATTATGCCAGTCTCCTCTGGTCTGCAGAGTTTCTGCTGAAAAATCAACTGATAGCCTAATGGATTTTTTTTTCTTGTATGTAATGGTTTTCCTTTCTCTTGCTGCTTTTAAAATTCTCCTTATCACTGCTTTTTGCCATTTTAATTACTATATGTCTTGGTGTGGACCGCCTTGGGTTAATTTTGTTGGGGGCTGTCTGTGCCTCCTGGATCTGGATTCAAAAATCCAGGAATTCAGAATTCCTTCTCCAGATAGGGAGTATTTTCAGCTATTATTTCTTCAAATAGCTTTTCTGCCCTATTTTCTCTCCCTTCTCCTTCTGGGATCCATATAATACAAACAGTATTATGCTTGATGGTGTCACTAAGTTCCCTTAATCTATTCTCATTTTTCATTACTCTTTTTTCTTTCCCCTGTTCAGTTTGACTGCTTTCTATTACTGTCTTCCAGGTTACTGATTTATTCTGCTCCTTCTAGTCTACTACGTATTCCCTCTAAATTTCAGTTATTGAGTTTTTCATCTCCGTTTGATTTTTATGTTTTCTATCTCTTTGTTGAGGGTCTGACTGAGGTCCTCCACTCTTTTCTCAAGTCCAGTGATTATCTTTATGACCATTACTTTAAATTTTCTGTTGGGGTTATTATTAGCTCTGTTTTATTTAGCTCTGTGTGTGTGTGTGTGTGTGTGTGTGTGAGATTTTGTCCTGTTCTTTCATTTGGAACATATTCCCCCGTCTCATCATTTTTTCTACCTCTCTGTATCTGCTTCTATGTGTTAGGAAAGTTGGCTATGCTGCCTGCTCTTGAAAGTAATGGCCTTATGAAGAAGAGGTCCTATAGTGCCCTGTAGGGCAATGTCTCCTATTCCCCAAACCCCGTACTTCAAAGGTGTCTCCTATATGTCTGCACCCTGCTATTGTGGCTGAGTTGCATTTGCCTTCAGTCCAGGCATACACAATATCTTTGCCTGATACAGGCAGTGTTTCATCCCTGTGTTATTAATGGGCCAGTGTGGGGCCACATTGAGCTTGAAGTGGGTCAGACCAGGCACTTATCAGAACTGCAGGCACCAAACTGCAGGATGCTCTCTCTGTGTTGCTCCCTGAGAAGCTCTCATTGGTGGGTGGGGCCTGCAGTCAGACTAGATGTCTGCCCCCAGCTCACTGCTGGAGCTGCAGTTGAACTGATGTATGTAGTTATCTTCCCCTCTATCCAGGGCAAGAGTCACTTTAGAGTGGTACTGATGACCCCTGTCCCAGCTGCTTACACAATGCCATGCTTGTGGCCCCACTTTGGATGGACTTCTGCCAGGGGCATGTTGGATGGGGTGGGTTTGCAGCAAAATGTAGGGGCCAGAGGGCCTGGTGTTAGCAAAGCATATGCTAATCTCTGTGGGAGGAGACTTGTAGCTGATTTGGAGAACTGCTAAAGATGGGTTGAAGGGGCAGGTCCACAGAAGTGCATGAGGGTGGGGTGTGCTGTTAGCAAGCTAGTCAGAAAGTTTTCCTGTTGGTTCCCACAGATGTCTGTATATCTATGCTGGGAAAGGGGAAGGAAATGGCACCTGTCAGCTCTTTTGTTCTTCGACAAGTCTCCTAAGGATCCTTGCCCTTCCAGCACACATTCTGAGATTACAAAATCAATATTTTTGTATGCCCCAAGTGTTTTTTCAAACTGCTGCTTCAATGCTGTATCTCAGTGAGGTTGTTTGTTTTGTTGTGTCTTTAATGGCAGAAAGGCAATTTCCTACTGCCTTTCTGGCTCTTCCAGAGTTGAACCCACTGACTTTTAAAGCTTCTGGTGTTGACACTGATTGTAGGAACTTGCAAAGTTAAACCTCTCTGATTTTCAAAACCAAATGTTATGGGGATTTGTCTTCCCAGTGTGCGTCTTTCATGCTGGAGGTGACTGGTATGGTATTTCCTCTTCTCCTTTCTCTATGCCTGTTGTGTCCCTCCCTTCTGTGTACAGTCTTACAGGTCAGTTTGGTTCCCAACCATGTCTCTGCCCTTCCTACCACTGTCAGTGTGGCCTCTTCTCTATGATTAACTGTGAATAGTCTGTTCTGCCAGTCTTTCGGTCATCTTCAGGGTTATTTACACCAATGTGGCTGTTATCTAGATGTATCCATGGGATGAGGTAAGTTTAGGATCCTCTTGCTCTGTCATCTTCCTGGAAGTCCCAGGGCCCCTTTTTTAATAAAAGCACATTTGCCTTTCACTGAGAATTGTAAAAGAAAAAGGAAACTGGTAAGTCTCCTTTATGGGAAAAGTCCAATCTCATCAAATTTCCAGCTTTCAAAAAAAAAAAAAAACAAATTTCCAGCTTTCACCAAATGAAACATGGCATTATGCATGCTAACAAATGTACCATATACCTAAGCATATATCAAGCATCTACCTACAACTAGACACAAGTGTACACCAAGTATGTATGGTTGTATACCAGAACATGCATGAAAATATGTACAAATACATGCTAGAAATACACCCACATTAACCTCTATAACACAACAGCAACAACAACAGCTAACACTTATTTAGCACTTACTCTGTGCCAGGAAATGTTTAAGGATTTTTAATGCATTAATTTATTTAATCTTCCCAACCACCCTAGAATATAAAAGCACATAGAAACTTGCCTTGGTCACAAACTATTCAGTGATGGAGCTGGAAATCAAGCCATAATCACTCAGTGCATTCCCCAAACATAAACATATACAAAGGCAGACACTAGGGACCCATGCAGAGGCACATCCACATCCGTAGAAGCATGCCCATGAAAACACCAGTCCAGAAATGTTATCTTGTCTCAATTTTGCCATACTATATATTATTTTACAGGTCAATCTGACATGAGAAAAACTTGACAACATACATTGATGCTTACAGCTACTCAGAAACAAATGTTTTCTGTTTGATAACTTAACATCCTTTGGTTATCTCATTACATCTACCAAGTACTTCTTTCCCCAAACTTTTATTTCCTCACACACAGCTTTCCTTGCCCAGAGTTTCTGGCCAACTACTACCCCTCTTTACCTCTCCCATACCACCCAGTTCCTCATTCTGTCCTTTCTAGTACTGGTTCCTCATAACAATGTCCTGTCCTCTTTATCATTACACAGAGTGACATAATGTATGACAAACTCAGCATCCTGATTGATACCCTGGCTGAGGAGGCAGCAATTGAGAAAAGTCCTACAGTATATGCAGACGGTGGCAAGGTAGATGGAAAGCCCTTCGTCCCTCAAATAGACCACATAGCCAAGTGCAAGTTGGAGCTGGCCACAAAGGCCCAGAATCTCCAGAAATCCTTGAAGCTCATCATATTCCAAGTTGAACAAGGTAAGGTCCCAGAGTTGTGGTAATTGAGGTAAGAGAAAGAGAAAGTTCCAGTGTATGGTTTACTGATCTCCCTCACTCTGGGACTGCTATTTGACTCCACTACCAAAACTTGACTAGATTCTGCATTCATATAGCATTCAAAGTCAGTCCTCAGACTGCTAATTTGAAAAGCCTCAGTCCTAATAAGCTCCTACCTCCTAGGCACTCAAATCATGCTACTCATTTATTTTTAGAACTAACAGTCATCCTAAACAATTACAACTCCTAAGTGACCTGGCTTAAAGCTCTGTCGGCTTCCACCATCAGCCATGGAATTTTTTTCTACCTGCTCTTATTTCCTTCCAACCACCAAGCCTGTGACAATTTTTAAAAGAAAAAGAATTTTCATCGCTGTGTGTCTTACATAGTATTCATCAGGCACAAGGACCCTGAGAATGGTCTTGGGATCTCTGGTATTGACTGCCGTTTCCCATAACTCATGACATTCAAAAACTTCCAACTCAGAATTAAAACTCTTTCAACTCCAACTTCTTAATTTAACATTCTGGCTCTCACTTCTTCACCACAATGCTTCCTTAAAAAATAGTGTATGCTCTACTTGAACTTTTGGAACTGAGCAGAAGTCCATGCAGCAAGTAAGTCCCCTTGGCTGACCTCTAACTTTTAGCCATGGTACCTTCTCCTGCTTTGGTACCTTTACATACACCCTCAGTCAAGTTTCCCAGAAAGAAAGGAAATCTCCATTCTGCACTACAAACATAGTAAACAGCAAGTTTGCCTCTATTTCTGTAGTTAGTTTCCAAGTAGTGAAGATGCAGCCATAATCTTATCACAATTGATACTCAGCCTGCTCCATCAACACAACACCTAAGTTAGCTTTGTAGGTCCAGCTTGTGGCCATGGGACAGAGAAAGGTGCCCTTACTAGGATAGGGATTGAACCTATGAACATTGGCACAGTTTGAGCATCTGAGCTATACAATATATAGGCTGGGAAAGGAAGGAGACTTCTCAAATATTCTTGGAATGAATGAAACATTTGAATGAAAGAATCGCATGGTCCTAGAGGCTCAAATTTGGGAAAAAAAAGTCATGTGAGTAAATTAATTAACAAAGAGGTGATAACAAAACAGAACAGAGAGTTTCCCACCTTGCTGCCCTGCCCCTGGCCCTGAGCTCCTACTCATACTACATTTATTGTGTGACAGAAAAAGAGTAACCAGTAAAACAGGCATGGATATGAAGAGAGATGGGGGCAACACTGTAACAAAGCTAAGACTACAAACAACATTGTGGAGGAGGGACGTAGCCAACTGAGGGTCTCCACTGTATACCCACACTGACTGGCATTAACTAAACAAAAGAGATGCTTAAGAAGTGCTCAACAAATATGAACAATACTCCTTCCTTTCTTCCTTCCTCCCTCTCTTCTTTCCTCTCTCCCTCACACCCTTGCCTTCTTCTCTCCCTTCTTTCTTTCTCCCTCCCTCCCTTCCTGCCTGCCTTCCACCCTTCCTTCCTACCTTCATTTTTCCCTTCCTCCTTCCCTCTCTTCTTCCCTCTCTACCTTGCTTTCTCCTTCGCTCTTTCTTTCCTTTTCCTTTCCACTTTTTCTCTATAGTTCTGGATGAGCAAAGCCGACAGACAATATCGGTTAAGAACTTTACTTCAACTTTCTTCCTGGAAGATGACTCAGAAGATATTAGCCAGATGAGCCCAAGACACCGTAAGAATCAATCTTTCTTTCTTTCTTTCTTTCTTTCTTTCTTTCTTTCTTTCTTTCTTTCTTTCTTTTTTCTTTCTTTCTTTCTTTCTCTTTCTTTCTTTCTTTCTCTTATTTCTAGCCTTCATCACTGTCTTCTAGTTCCCAGAGAATAAGGATGTGTTCCCATATATCCTTTTTAGTCATAATCCTGTTCTGCAGTAGATATCCTTCCCTCTTTCCCAAAAAGCTCACAGTATAATATCCCATGCCAAAATCCAGAAGTAATGACCTCATCAGGTACTTTGAAAAACCTGGCCTGATGAAACCCAAGATCAAAAGCTGTTTTCAAGGGCACCTGCATGGCTCAGTGGTTGAGCGTCTGCCTTTGGCTCTGGTGGCAAACCTGGGATCTTGGGATTGAGTCCCACCTCAGGTTCCCCACAAGGGAGCCTGCTTCTCCATCTACCTATGTCTCTGCCTCTCTTTCTGTGTCTCTCACGAATAAATAAATAAATAAATAAACCTTAAAAAAAAGGAAACTTCCCTTTTTAAATTAAAAAAAATAAACTAAAGCTGTTTTCACTGCTAGCAAGCAGGCAGCCCAATCTTACTATTCTCTCAGAGGAAGGCCCTGTCCATCTAAGATGATCCCTCTTTGGATTGAGAACTTTCATTATACTCAAGAGAAAGTCATTGAGCTTGACCCTGGTCCCACAGAGAAAATAGGGTGAAATGCAAGTGAGAGGAAGGACTTTCTTGTTTGAATCTGACATCAAGGTGATGTCTTTTGTGTCTAGGTTCTCATCCTGGCACTTTGTCTTCTATATCGTCTCTCAAAAGTGAAGACTTAGATAACCTCAACTTGGAGCATTTACATTTTACTCCCGAAACTATGTAAGTATTTAGTCCTACAACCATTTTATGACTTCCTCTGTTCTTTGGTTAAAAGAACAATCTGGGGCAGGGCAAGATGGCGGAGAAGTAGGGTCTCCAAGTCACCTGTCCCCACAAACCTACCTAGATAACTTTCAAATCATCCTGAAAACCTACGAATTTGACTTGAGATTTAAAGAGAGAACAGCTGGAATGCTACAGAGAGAAGAGTTTGCACTTCTAACAAGGTAGGAAGGCAGAAAAAAAAATAAAAAAGAATCAAGTTGGGGAGGGGCCCCCGCGAGGAGCCGGTCTAAGGCCAGGCAGTGAAAGCCTCCAGGACAGGAGAGCCCGGCCTTGGAGAAGAAGGAACTTTAAAAATCTGCACCATTTTCTTCCCGGATGGAAAGGCACTTAGCAGGGAACTCGGGCAGAATGGCAGGAGGGGCAATGAAGACTCCAGTCTCCTGAGGTCACTAAAAGAGGAAGTGAGCACCTGGGGAGAGCACGCCACAGACTGTGGGCCAAGCTCAGTAAAGAGCTGGAGCACGCACCCGGCAGGGCCTTGGGAGAAGCTCAGGTGGCAGCTCCGGGCAAAGGGGGCTGTGCTGAGCTGCCTTCGATACCCACGCCCCGAGAGCATGATTCCAGCAGCACAGGCCCCGGAACCCAGGGCGCTGGGGGAGATAGCCCATGATCCTGCATCCCCTGGGGACAGGCCGAGGTGCACAGGGCACAGGACAGCGAGGACGCTCCTGCTGCTGGCGCTCCCAAGCTGTGCAGGTCAGCACCCTCCGCCCCCAGAGCATCCAAGCCAGCGTGGACTGGGAGACTAGGGTAGTTACTGCGGGAGCTGACTCCAGAGCTGGCTGGCTGGCCGACACCAGTGTTGTTGTTCCTCCTGGTGTCACCCTGTGCCTGGGATGGAGCCGGGCTGTCAGGGAGCAGGAGTCAAAAGCTCCCACTGAGCTGTGCACCTGGAAGGGGGCGGGGAAGCTCCCCCAGGTACAGACACCTGAGAATCAGCACAGCAGGCCCCTCCCCAAGAAGACCAGCTGGAAAGACAAGGAAAGAGCAAGTTCTTGACCAAGCAGCACTGGAAAGTTCCAGGGGAACTCGAGGGATTTACAGTGTATACAACCAGAGGATGCCCTGCCTTGTTTTTTTTTTCTTTTTTTTCTACATTTTTCCACTACAACATGTTTTTAGGCACTCTGCACTGAGCAAAATGACTAGAAAGAACTCACCACAAAAGAAAGAATCAGAAACAGTACTCTCTGCCACAGAGTTGCAAAAATTGGACTAAAATTCCATGTCAGAAAGCCAGTTCAGAAGCACAATTATAAAGCTACTGGTGGCATAAAGGATTCAAGAGACTTCATGACTGCGGAATTTAGATCTAATCAGGCCGAAATTAAAAATCAATTAAATGAGATGCAATCCAAACTGGAGATCCTAACAACAAGGGTTAATGAGGCAGAAGAACGAGTGAGTGACATAAGACAAGTTGATGTCAAGGAAGGAAGCTGAGGAAAAAAGAGAAAACAAAAGATCAGAGGAAACGTTAAGAGAAATAAATTACAGCCTCAGAAGGAAAAATCTACATTTAATTGGGGTTCTAGAGGGTGCCTAAAGGGACAGAGGACCAGAAAGTGTATTTGAACAAATAATAGCTGAGAACTTCCCTAACTTGGGGAGGGAAACAGGCATTCAGATCCAGGAGATAGAAAGATCCCCCCTTAAAATCCATAAAAACCTCTCAACACCTCGACATTTAATCGTGAAACTTGCAAAGTCAAAAGATAAAGAGAAAATCCTTAAAGCAGCAAGAGACAAGAGATCCCTAACTTATATGGGGAGAAATATTACATTGACAGCAGACCTCTCCACAGAGACCTGGCAGGCTGGAAAGGGCTGACAAGATATATTCAGGGTCCTAAATGAGAAGAACATGCAGCCAAGAATACCACATCCAGCAAGGCTTTCATTCAGAATAGAAGGAGAGATAAAGAGCTTCCAAGATAGGCAGAAACTGAAAGAATATATGACCACCGAACCAGTTCTGCAAGAAATATTAAGGGGCACCTGTAAAAGAAAAAGTCCAAAGAAATAATCCACAAAAACAGGGACTGAATAGGTATTATGATGAAACTAAATTCATATCTTTCAATAGTAACTCTGAACATGAATGGGCTTAATGATCCCATCAAAAGATGCAGGGTTTCAGACTGGATAAAAAGCAAGACCCATCTACTTGCTGTCTACAAGAGACTCATTTGGACCTAAGGACACCTCCAGCCTGAAAAGGAAAGGTTGGAAAACCATTTACCATTCAAATGACCCTCAAAAGAAAGGAGGGGTAGCAATCCTCATCTCAGATAAATTAAAGTTTATCCCAAAGGCTGTAATTCGAGATAAAGAGGGACATTATAACATACTTAAAGGATCTGTCCAACAAGAGGACCTAAAAATCATGAATGTTTATGCCCCTAATACGGGAACTGCCAAGTATATCAATCAATTAATAACCAAAGTAAAGACATACTTAGATAATAATACCCTGATACTGGGAGGCTTCAACATGGTGCTTTCTGCAAATGAGAGATATTCTAAGCACAACATCTCCAAAGAAACAAGAGCTTTAAATGATACACTGGGCCAGATGGATTTCACAGATATTTACAAATCTTTACTTCCAAACGCAACTGAATACACATTCTTCTCAAGGGCACATGGAACTTTCTCCAGAATAGACCACATACTGGGTCACAAATCAGGTCTCAACCGGTACCAAAAGATTGGAATTGTCCCCTGGATATTTTCAGACCATAATGCTTTGAAACTTGAACTCAATCACAAGAAGAAATTTGGAAGAAACTTCAAACATGTGGAGGTTAAAGAGCATCCTGCTAAAAGATGAAAGGGTCAACCAGGAAATTAGAGAACAATTAAAAAGATTCTTGGCAACTAATGAGAATGAAGATACAACTGTCCAAAATCTTTGGGATACAGCAAAAGCAGTCCTGAGAGGGAAATACATCGCATTACAAGCGTCCCTCAGAAAATTGGAAAAATTTTCCTCATCCTCACTGGTGTGAGGTGGTATCTCATTGTGGTTTTGATTTGTATTTCCCTGATGGCAAGTGATGCAGAGCATTTTCTCATGTGCATGTTGGCCATGTCTATGTCTTCCTCTGTGAGATTTCTCTTCATGTCTTTTGCCCATATCATGATTGGATTGTTTGTTTCAATTCAACATGTTTGTTTCAATTCAACATGATTGGTGTTGAGTTTAATAAGTTCCTTATAGATCTTGGATACTAGCCCTTTATCTGATACGTCATTTGCAAATATCTTCTCCCATTCTGTAGGTTGTCTTTTACTTTTGTTCACTGTATCCTTTGCTGTGCAAAAGCTTCTTATCTCGATGAAGTCCCAATAGTTCATTTTTGCTTTTGTTTCTTTCGCCTTCGTGGATGTATCTATAACACCTCACACCAGTGAGAATGGGGAAAATTAACAAGGCAGGAAACCACAAATGTTGGAGAGGATGCGGAGAAAAGGGAACCCTCTTACACTGTTGGTGGGAATGTGAACTGGTGCAGCCACTCTGGAAAACTGTGTGGAGGTTCCTCAAAGAGTTAAAAATAGACCTGCCCTACAACCCAGCAATTGCACTGTTGGGGATTTACCCCAAAGATTCAGATGCAATGAAACGCCAGGACACCTGCACCCCGATGTTTCTAGCAGCAATGTCCACAATAGCCAAACTGTGGAAGGAGCCTCGGTGTCCACTGAAAGATGAATGGATAAAGAAGATGTGGTTTATGTATACAATGGAATATTACTCAGCCATTAGAAACGACAAATACCCACCATTTGCTTCAACGTGGATGGAACTGGAGGATATTATGCTGAGTGAAGTAAGTCAATCGGAGAAAGACAAACAGTGTATGTTCTCATTCATTTGGGGAATATGAATAATAGTGAAAAGGAATATAAGGGAAGGGAGAAGAAATGTGTGGGAAATATCACAAAGGGACACAGAACATAAAGACTCCTAACTCTGGGAAACGAACTAGGGGTGGTGGAAGGGGAGGAGGGCGGGGGGTGGGGGTGAATGGGTGATGGGCACTGAAAGGGGCACTTGACAGGATGAGCACTGGGTGTCATTCTGTATGTTGGTAAATTGAGCACCAATAAAAAATAAATTTATTAAAAAATAAATAAAAGCTTTAAGAAAAAAAAGAAAATTGGAAAAAACTCAAATACACAAGCTAACATGCACCTAAAGGAACTGGAAAAGGAACAGCAAATAAAACCTACACCACGCAGAGGAAGAGAGATAATAAAGATTCGAGCAGAACTCAATGAGATGGAAACCAGAAGAATTGTAGAACAGATCAACAAAACAAGGAGTCGGTTCTTTGGAAGAATTAGTAAGATAGATAAATCATTAGCCAGCCTTATTAAAGACAAAAGAGAAAAGACTCAATAAAATCGCGAATGAAAACGGAGAGACCACAATCGATACCAAGGAAATACAAACGATTTTATAAACTTATTATGAGCAGCTATATGCCAATAAATTAAGAAATAATGGACACACTTCTGGAAAAAGACAAACTGCCAAAACTGCAACAGGAAGAAATAGAAAACCTGAACAGGCCAAACCAGGAAGGAAATTGAAGCAGTCATCAAAACCTCCCAAGACACAAAAGTCCAGGGCCAGATGTCTTCCCAGGGGAATTCTATCAAAAGTTTAAAGAAAAAAACATAGTTATTTTACTAAAGCTGTTCTGAAAGATAGAAAGGGATGGTATACTTCCTAACCCATTCTATGAAGCCAGCATCACCTTAATTCCAAAACCACACAAAGCCCCCCCCCATAAAGGAGAATTATAGACCAATATCCCTGATGAACACAGATGCAAAAATTCTCAACAAGATACTAGCCAATAGGATCCAACAATACATTAAGAAGATTATTCACCATGACCAAGTGGGATTTATCCCCGGGA